ATGAGCAATGAATTCAGAAAATGTTAATTTGCTGTTAGTTAGGGATCTGGATTCTCAGCAGTGCTAAGGGACTCACATGAGAAAAATGTAACTAGAAATAATCAGTCTCTCTTAGCTCTCTATTGTATTGAACAAACTATACCATGAGTCAGTAGCTTAAAGCAACAATGAGTTATTATTTTGTGGGATCCTGAGAATCGGGTGGTTCTGCCATTATTTTTCTCCTGGAGTCAATTGAACAACTGTATTCAGCTGGGAAGGTGATTTGGAAGGTGTGTCCATGTGGGACAGTGGGGACAGCTGAGCCCTCGCTTTATGTGGTCTTTCATCCCCAAGGAGGATAGAGTGAGCATACTCACTGTGGCATTCATACCCTAAAAGGCAAAGCTCTAGACTATATTGAATATGCTCTTCTGTTTGCGTCTCCTTCTCTGATGTCTCAGTGGCCAAAGATATTTGCTCAGCCAAGTCTTGCAATACTGAAGTGCATTACATGTGGGCAGGTGTATCATAAGGCACAGTTCACTAAGGCAATTAATGCCACTGCCATCGCAGAGAAACTCATGGTCAGGTGGCCATCATGGAAGAGGTCACTATGTACTTGTGACACAGTCATGTAGCAAACAGAGCAGAGCCACCTTTCAGGGAGAGGGAGGTCCTGTAGCGTGGTAGTAGGAGCATTAAACGTGGCTGGTCTTGGAGCTTGAAGAATAGGGCTTGACCATGGAATGTGAACCCAATAATAGTCACTTCACAGGCTATCTCTGGCGTCAGAGGCAATAATACGAAGGTATTTTTATAGATTTGAAGAGAAATTAGCACCGTGAAGCAGAAAGCCCAGGTCAGAACCACGGACAGATCCAGCATCTCCTGAGAATACAGTACCTTTCCCACCATCTTCGGGAGGCAGCTGGGCATGGAGAATTAACTTGCTGAGTGTCTAGAGATTCGATTTGCTTCATGAATCCTCATTTGCCTTGGGCTGTTTCCTGTCAGAACTTGTATCCACTGAGTTTAGATTTAGTCATGCGCAAGAGGAGCCCACAGGTAAAGCAACCTAAACAAAATAGAAGTATTGGCAGTCAGAGGCAAAGGTCGGATGTGTGAAGCTCAGGGCTGTGACAGCAGCTCTTGTCCATGACATCCAGACCCCAGGTCTTTTCAGCTTACTGCCTTGCACCTACAGGCTGTGGCTTCAACTGCTCGTCCAGGGTGGGTGCAGACGCTCCTCCTGTTGCTACACCAACTTTCTTTTATTTGTCTTTCCAATAAGACAAATTTTTGTGAAGCCTACTACACACTAGAAAGAGATTACAAGTATAGAATTTAAAGAGGTCACCCCTTGGGATTTTGAGGAGAGGAAGAAAAGAGCTCTCCAATCTGTGTGTGAAGCAGCCAAAATGTGTAAATTACTTAATGGCTAGTCTGGGTTGGGGCAGTGTTTGAATCCTGTGAAATGAGTCAAATAATATTTAGTTTGAAAGGAAAGGCAAAAATAAGAAGACTTTAGCTCATAATGAAGACTCTTGCGCACTGCTTCTTTATTACCCACCGTGGAGACGAAGCTGTTAGTGTCTATTGCTGCTGTAAGAAAATGCCCACAAACCCAGCAGCTCAGTAGAGGAGAATGGTGGCCACCAGTGGCTAAGTCAGGGAGGGAAAAATGAGACGTTGTTGGCCAACCCATATTTCAGTTACCCAACATGAATAAGTTCTGGAGCTCTAGTGTAAGACATAGGGCCTGCAATGAAAATATTGTGTTGCATGTTTGACATTTGCTAGGAGAGCAGATCCTATGCATTCTCACCACACACAAAAAGAAAAGAAAGTGGTCATGGGTATGTTAATTTGCTTGATTATGTAATTGATATGGTCACATACCTTTAAATACATGAAATTATTTTCAATTATTCATCAATAAGAACTGGAAAAATAAATGAAAAAATTTGGGAATTTGAATAATTTTGTGTTATGCATGGGTTTTCTGCAAGTTTAATTATATTTGTACACAAAAAAGATAAAACATAAAAATTAAGAAAGTGTGATACATAGATTGATTGACTGATTACAATGCTTGGGATTGAACCCAGGACATTTGCACTGCTGCATTCCCAGTCCACTTTTATTTTTTATTTTGAGAAAGGTCTTGCTAAGTCACTAATTTGCTGAAGATGGGATCAAAGTTTTTCTGTCTCAGTCTCCGACAATGCTGCGGTTAGGGGTGTGCACCTCCATACCTGGCAGAATACATTGTTAAATCACCCAAAATCATATTGCAAAACAACACCCAATTTTATAGGTGTCAGTGTAGTTTTTAGGGGACTTAATGTAGTCTTCGGGTGGTGACATCACTGTAATACTGATAAAAGTGCAGGTGTCAGGCCACGGAGCAGAATCCTGGCAGACCTCTGCATCTGAACTTCCAACCCGGAGGGTGGGGATCATTGCCACCTCCCAGGTGATTCTGATCACGGAAAGGATGACAGCCAATGGTGTGAGGCCTGGGAAATAGTAAGAAGCACACTGGTGTGTTAAAAGTTGAAAATCTCATACAAATTCACACATGAAGCATGATAAAAATATGGTGAATGTTTAAATGAAAAAAATTTCTTACAGTAAAAGATATTTTGCCATTAATCTCCCTCAGAATACTCCCCTCCACTTTGAGCACACAGATCCATCCCACTGTTCTTGCCACTTTCTGCAGCAGTTCTAGAGTCCACTTTCCCGAGTGTCTTTAGTTGCACTGATGTGGCTGCCTCAATGTCCTGAACTGACTCAAATTGTCTACCTTTCATGGTCATTTTGACTTTGGGGAAGAGCTGGAAGCTGAATGGTGCCAGATCTAGTGGATGAGGACACAGCATATGTTTTTGTTTGACAGAGATTGCTGTAAATATTTTGGATCAGTTCAGGACACTGAGGTAGCCATGAAAATATACACAGGAAAGAGGACTCCGGAACCCTTTCAGAAAGTGACAAGAATAATGGGGTAAGTGTGTTGAAAGTGAAGGAGAGGATTTTGAAAGGGATTAATGGTGTGTCTTGTACTGTAATACATTTTCAAAAATTTTAATTTAAATAGTCACTATATTTTATATCATACCCTATGTGTGAATCTTGGGGGTGAGCTTAGGATTTCATACATAGATTTAGGGTCTCTCTTTCTTCAACTCTCTCCTGTGATTTCCTCTACATTCTCTACATTCCTGTTTTCACTGCTCATCTTCTGACTAGAAATCCAAAGTTTTATCCTTGTCATAGATTACACATGTCACAACCGGGTTTACATCTGGGGTAAAACATCAATGGCAAAAATAGCAGGCCTCCTACCATACTATTTGGACCACAAAGGACCATTTTTCTAGTCCCTCTCATCTGAGAAAAGGATTTTTTTTTAGGTGCTTCTATAGTCACTGCAGGTGCCCCTTTGGTAGGTATGCAGCCTTGGCAGAGCTGCATTCTTTTCCCCATAAGTACACCCCATGCCATCACTTCAGACAGAAAAGAGATAGGTTTCACTTGGAGGTTCTTTTCCAAAGCCCATGGTACCATTTTGGAAACTGGTTCACCTGGGGCTGGATATAGGAAGGGAAGATGCAGAAAACTGCCTGCCATGTTACTTGCCCTTCTAGTTTTGATCTACTGCCTCACTTTGCTGCTATAATTTATTTTCAGATTCCTTGTGTATTTGTTTTGTTTCTGTCCAGGGTTTTTAATTATAATCAGTGAGAGATAAAATGGTGTTGTGTGCTTGTTTAGTTCTTCTTAGCCAGATCCAGACACTGAAAGAATTTCTTGTGCTTCAGTAAACCTGAAAGGAGGAAATGCTAACCTCTATGGTTGGACATAAGCAGGGAGGTAAGATAGAAAGATGAAGACTCAGTCTTTAACCCTTGGGCAGGAACTAGGAAAGGAGGCTGTTAGGGTTCACATCTAAAATGTGTACCCAAGGTCTCACATGTGTGAAGGTGACCGGATCATGGAGATGCTGTGCTCACTGGTGGATTCATTGGTGTTCATAACTGTGAATCATGGGGGGTCATGACCTGGAAATGTACATCCTGTCCCTAGCCCCTCCCTTTTCTCTCCACTTCCTGGCTGCCATGGGATGAGCAGATGTTCCCTGCCAGGCCCTGCCACAATGCTGTTTCTACCTTTAAGCCAGAAGACCATGAACTGAACCCACTGAAACCATGAGCTAGAATCAACTTCTCCTCCTTAAGCTGTGAGTATTGGGTATTTTGTCCCAGTGATGGGAAAGTGACTAATACAGAGGTCTATCTGTTTGACTAGAGGTTGCTTCGGGGACCATGCACAGATACAGGATGCTGCGAATGGTTAGCACCTTTCAGCAAAGTCTCAGAGTCTATGCAGTGAGGCTCGTGGAGATGTCTGTCTCTCTGATTTGCCACTTCTTAATGTCCCTCAGGATCTGGAAAACTACTTTGTATATGAAGAACCAGCTGCAGTGGATACCAGAGTATGGACAAAGGTTTTAGAATTGAGACGATATATTTGATTTAATAACAAGAGAAAGATGATTGTAATTGTGTTTTATGTATTCATGTGATTGCAAGTTGGTAAACAATGGGCAAGAAATGTTCAGAGCTGTATAAAAAAGATAGTGTTAAGGAGAATGAAGCCTGGAGATGATAGGTGTTTTATTGTTTCATTTTTCAAAAAATGTCCTTAATGTGGCTCTACTATCTTTTTGAATGTAATAATGTGTAAGAATAATTCCTGCCCTATTGCCGGATAGTCACATTGGTCTCCATTCTATTTCCGTTGCTTATTTGGGAAGGCTTTCTTATTTATCTCCTGTCACCTAGCTGGTCTAGCTGGTCCTGCCACGTGTTCCTACCATCAGGGTAGACACCAGCACGAGCAGGTGACAGTAGTACATTTCCTTGCTTACTGAATATCTTCAATGCCTAGCTAGTGCCTTCATATTTATTCATTAAATGTTCAAGTCTCCAAGTGAATGAAAACATTGAAAGTTAAGATTTCTAGCTTATAGTTTATTTGGTTTTTCTTTTGGTCTCAGACATGTTTTGGGCTCATGTATTGCTTTCTCTTCATATTGACAAACACTGTTCAAATTCTCCAGCCAACTACAGCTGGATGCCATACTGTGTTCAGTTGACAATCAGCGAAAGGAGAGGCCCAGGTGGAAGTGTTCAACAGGGAAGGAAAATCAGAGCTCAGGTTTGCCCAAGGCCACTTTGGTCAAGAATGATCAGTGGAAACAGAAGTTTCTGAGGTATTGCTAGGAATAGAGCCTTTCCTCTCTGGCTCCACCTCTTATGTATATACCAATTTAAGCACAGTGGTGCTGACTCAAGTGTACTACCATTTATAAGAAAGCTGTCATATGCAGTGGCATAGATTTGGAGGAAGTGTAGGGGAGCCACTGAGCCACAAGCTATGCATGACTATAGCATCCTCCACATAACAACCCTAGCATGGAAGGGTTGGAAGTTTCCTTGGGTGCAGGCCCTCCAACATCTTCCTCTACAACTGGCACTTAGACAAGTCACCATTCAGCCTCGCTCGAGCACTCTGAGTGATGGTGAGCTCACCATCTTCCAAGGCTGCCTATTACATCTTCAGATAAACCTCTGCAGGACCTGCAAATGTGAGTGCCTGGGCAGACACACTCACTCCTTCATCAGAGACAGACATCATCAATCGATCACAGTGCCATCAAGCTTAGGCTTATTCTCGGCATCATTCTCAACATTGTGTTTCAGTTGAATGGAATTCAACTCGTAGTCTCTTCCCAAGCTACTAAAAAGCTCTTTCTTATAGCTGCTTTGCTAGATCTTATACACATTGATCTTCTTTATGTCCTCTGTCACAATCTGAGCCAAAGACAGCCTCAGCCTGGCAGCCTTGAGCCCTTTGGACACAGCCTGGAAAACGCAGAACCAGCAGGATGGTGGTTGGGAATGGTTCTCTTCAGCCCAGGATCCACAAGGCAGAGCCAAAGATTGGCAGAGCCTTTTATTAGGAGGCACAGAGTCTCTGCTCACTGAATTCTGAGGTCCCTTGTCCAGGGTCAAAGACCAGGGTCACTGAGGCTCCCGGATCCAGGTAGAGGTTAAAGGCTACTGACAGGAAAGCTGGGACTGGAACCTCAGCCCGTGATTTCCAGCCCACTGAGCCCGTTGTCAGACCAGATTGTTTGCTTTCAGAAAGGATTCCACTAGCATTCATCCAATTACACTTTGAAGCCGTTGATTAAGTCACAAAGAAGGCGGGCCATCGATCTCCACAGAAGAACATTCGGTCACTGAAACAGGGTGATTCTTTCCAGCTTCCCAACAAGTGTGGAAGAGTAACGGAAGAATAGCTGGTCATGAAGTTAGGTGAGCACCAGCTGGTTATGAAATACTTAACAATTCAGGACTTGCACGGTTTAGGTCAGTTTGCACCTTGCAAATGTGGGGAAGCCTTTGATGCTCTGAAACGGCGTGACTATCCCTTTAGACAACCCTGTTTTTGACATAGTTGTCCAACGTGGAGGAGGAATCTGGCTTCGGCTTTCTGTTCCCTGTCTCGTCATCAGCAACGGCTGAGTCAGCCTTCTCCTCTGGGGGGTATGCCTTGTTCCTCTTGGCAAATGCCTGGCTGATTTCTGCGTGGGTTCTGTTTTTGGTCTCAGGCAGGACAAAATAAAGGTAGACAGCACCTGCAAAACATACTGCAGCAAAGACGAGGAAACAGTAGGTGTCCAGACTTTTCTGCAGAAAGACAAAGACAGAGAAATGAATCAGTAGACTAACGGGCTCTAAAACCACTTCTGAGCAGGTATTTTTTACAGCTCCCCACTCATATATCAGTATTCCTGAGTAAAGCATTACATGTGTAGCTGGCTCTACAGGGCAAATGGAGCTCTCACAAAGCATTCTCAAGAGAAGCAAATCAGCTTCCAACCCTGGGAAAGACAAGGAGTATCAGTCTTTATTGTTGTTTTGCTAATGAGACATTTAAAAGTTAATCACCATCAAAACAAAATATGCAGCGAGTAATCCTCGCTGCATATTATCTTAAGTTTATATTTGCCATGAACAGCATTCTGTCTGCACTTCAGCTTTTCCTGAGTCACACGTGACACCAAAATGGAAGAGAAATGTCCCATTTAGAACAAAAATATGGGCCATTTTTAGGCCAAGAGAACACTGTTTTTTTCCCCCAATATGCACAAAGCTCAAGCACACTAACTGATATTCTGACCAGGAGTGCACAAATCTGGGATCCCGCATCCTGGAAGAGGGTGGGCAAGACCTTGAGCTTGTCAGTGTACCTTGTCCTCCGGGCCTTGCCTGGGCCTGGCTTGTAGGGGGCACTCAGGAAACATGCGAGGAAGAAAACACTTTGTGGTTCCAGCTGTCTGGGCCATGACTCTTTCATACAACAAATATCTGTTGATCTAAATGTAAGGGGACGGTGCCTTTGCACGATCATCCGCAAGCAGCAGTATCTGGATTTTAGTACATTCCATTTAATTCTTTGACTTGCAAAGCATTTGTTGAGCACACACGATGTAGTATGCCGGAGTTGCTCTCGGGATTGCATCCCGGGTGCACCAAACAGTGTCAGAGACTCTGTCCTGTGCTTCCATGATGGTACACATATGCTTGATGCAAGGAGTAAACAAAATGATCCTTCAAGCTCTGCACATAGTAAATGCTGCACACCTTAGGGTGCTTTATGTGAAGGGTATGTGCTTTCTTCTCATCCACTAACTATGTGCAGTGTAAAGGAGCGGGGAGAACCGGGCTCTGCAGTCAGCTGAATGGGATCCAAACCCTGGCTGTATGACTCACACGTTGTGTAATTCTGAAGGCACGCCACCGAAACCAAACGCCAACCCACGGAGCACCAGTTTCCTTGCGTGTGACATGGTGACAGACAACCACCTGCTGTATCAAAGATGAGCTCTGATGTTTCCAGGTCCACACTGTCCATCCTCACTTGCCTACTGCATGGGCTTTGGACTTGTCAAGTCCAAAGCAGAGCCTTTCAACCTGCCCCTGCTCTGCTCTCCCCACCCCTGGTGGCTTCTGCCAGCCCCAAACACCAAGAGCCAGAAGGCTCCTCTTTCTCTCACCCATGCATATCTGACCCATCAGGAAGTCCTGTTGACTCTACCTTGAAATATATCCCACTTGTCACCACTTCTATTGCTGCCACCTCGGTGCAAGCCATCAGCATGTCCTGATTAGATCACTGCAATTGCTTCTCAGCTGATCTCCTTGCTTAGCCCCTTGACCCCTAAGACCGGTCCCAAGAGAGAAGTCAGAATGAGCTGAACTTGTCATCATACTCAAAACTGACTGTAACATCCTAAATTACTTTGAGCAAACCCAAAGCCACCTGCCATGCCTTTTTCTTCTCTGACCCCAGTCTCCTCACCTCCTCAGTTCCAGCTACATGGCCCTCCTGCTTGTCCCGTGATACAGGCCTGAGCAACTTTGCACATGCCTTCCTTCTTCATGGAGTCATCGCTACACATCTGCATATCCTGCTTTCTTACTGACCTTTGTCGGGATTTAAAGGTCAATTGTTTAGGTTCTCTCTGGGTCTGGTTTCTAGATAGCTCCTCCCCAGACTTATTCATGATGCTTCAAGGAATTACACGGCACCATCATGTATTTTACCTGCTTATACATCCCTCACCATGGGGAGGGAAGTGGCCTGAGGGCAGGTGTTGTCATCCGCTGGTGTTTCCAGGTCCTAGTGAGTGGCTGAGCCATACTGCATGCCTAGCAACTGTGTGCAGAATATACGAGTGGAGTGAGGTCCAGCAAGGCCCTGCCCTACTGTGCATCACTACTGGAGCTGCCTCGGGTGCCTCCATCACCTCTAGAGCTGCCGCCTGCCTGACTTCCTTTTCCAAGTGCTCGCTCTTGCACTTTCCTGGGAAAATAGATTTGTCTTTGTTGCAAGAGTCTCAGGGTGAAGATGTGGGCAAACCAGGGACTTCCTGGATGCAGCCTCTGCCCTTTGGCCCTCAGATTAAAGGGTCCTAATGTCCCCACTGTGGTCTGTGTGTGTCCCCAAAATGTGTTGGAGCTTAAACACCAGGGTGATTAAGTCATGAGGGTGGAGCCCTTGTTCATGGCATTAGGGAGCTTATCAAAGGCTGAAGGGAGCCAGTAGGCTCTTCCACCTTTCTACCTTCCTCTGTAAGAGGATGCTTCAGGGGCACATCTGGAAGCAGAGAAGAAACCCCACCAGACACTGAACGCACCAGCACCTTGGCTTTGGGCTTTCCATCCTCCAGGACTGTATGAAATATATTACTTCCTAAGTCACCCGGTCTGTGGCATTTTGTTATAGTCCCACCCTGCCCCACTGAGATCACTGCCCTTAAGAGGGTACAGAGCCTCTGGCAGGCATGTGCTCACCCACTCTCCTACCTCACACACATTCAGAGCCACATCCTAATTCCTAGTTCTGCAGGCAATGGTTCAGGCCATTCAGTCCCTCTGCAGAGGGGGGAATCCAGGGGAGGCTGTCATGCTGCCAAGGAGGTGGCAGGCTTGGAGTGACTCAGCCTCCTGCTCTTCCCCTCAGCCACTGTCCCTTGGTGGACTCTGGCTTGGGCTGCAGAGAGACGGGGATGAGGCTAATGATAACGGTAATGTATCAGGCAGCTCTCCTATCACTGGGACACAATACCCAACACCCATGATTTAAGGAGGATAGATTCAGTTTAGCTCATGGTTTGAGGGAATTCAGTCCATGGTTTTCAGCTCCAATGCAGGAGCATCACAGTGGATGGACAAGGCAGAAGAAAACTGATTAGTTCATGTCAGCCAGAAAGCAGAGCAGCAGAATAGTGCCAGAGAAAAAGGGACCTGATGTAGTCCTCATGGTCACACTCTGAAAAATCCAGAAATGTGCTCCATCAATCCCCTAGGAATTTCCCATGCTAATTGAATCGACACAATCAGGCTTAGCCATCACAAGAAGCAAGTGTTTGCTGATTCTTTTCTGTGCTGGCCATGCTGACAGTGTTCACACCTACCCTGGGCACAGGTGTATTTTACAAATAAAGTAACCAAGAGTGGTGAAGGTATTGGCGCAGTTTTTTGGGTGCTGTGCAGCGAAGTTAGGAACCGAGCAGTAGGGAACTGACAGGTGCAGAAGGACCTCATAGGTGCAGATGCCAAGTCCCTCCCATCCGGGTGAGTGCAGTCTCCTCCAACTGACAGAAAAGCTCTTAGCTGTAATTATATCATTTCTACAAATCTATCTTTTATGTTATTGGAAATGGACATGAAAATGTTCCATATTCTCTTATTCAGAAGAGAAAATTTCCTTTCAGAATACAGTATAATGTCAAATTATGCTAAACTATGAGGCAGTTTTGGCAAAGTGCTACTTTTAGGAAAAAGTCAGTGGTACTAAAGGAAACTTAGTGCTTTGTTTTACTTCCCTTGATCAGAACTGTGTGAAGATGTAGCAGCTTCCCTGAGCGAGGGACACAGGTGAGGAATATGCTGCTGGAATGTAGCCGGAAGTCTCACTAACCAGACCCTGGGCTCCTTTACAGATCAATGTATCATCACTGAGCAAAAGTAGGGCACCTGGCAGCATGTCCCTGACATGCCCTATTGGTTTCCCAGGGCTCTTTCTGAATCAAGGGGACATGATAAGCATGCCCAGGCTGCACAGTCTGGGTAAGGATCACCAGAGGGAAAGAATCACCCGAGGGACGTTGAGAACTGGGCCACCTGCGCTGTCTGTGGGAGCTTCCCTCCTGTCTGAGTGCTGAGTCAACTGCTCCTTGAAGTCCTGCTCGCACATCAGAACAGACAGTTCCTTACGTCGCCGCTGTGTGGGGTCCTGCACAAACCCCTCTCTGCAGTGAGCAGGTGTGGAACAGAACATTGTGGCTGGGGTAAGTGCTGTAGTCCAGCTGGTGCTGCTGGGCCTTCTGAGTAATTTCTGATGAGTAATTGTCCAGCCCATCACTGCTGACCTCCGAGTGGTGCTATTGTTAGGTATGTGCCCCATTGTGAGACCCTGTTAGTAAGTCCTGGTCCACCCTCTCCTCTCTGTAAACCTGTTAGTAAGTCTTAATAAGCCCTGTATCTCTCAAGCCAATGTCTCGGGATTTTCTCCACTTCCGTGACAGGCTGACTCACAGCTGTGGTGCAGCTGGGCTATGGGCAGGACAAGTGGTGTGCCAGGTGGGTCTGGGGAGGGTGTGGGCATCGCCTGGAAATCTAACCTCCCAAAACCAATATGCTCTGGAAATAACAAGATTATAAACTAATGTAATTCTGGTCTCAATTTAGAAGTAGGCATTCAGCTGATATATCAAAAGCAAAAAAGTGAGCTGAGTGTGGCAGCCCATGCCTGGAATCCCAGCACTCTTGGGAGGGTGAGGCAGGAGGATGGCAAGTTTAAGCCCAGCCTAGACAATCTAGCAAGGCCATATCCCAAAATAAAAAAGTTAAAGAACTGGTAGGGATGCAGCTTTGTGTCGAGGCCCTGGGTTCAGTCTCCAGTGTTGAGGGAAAGAGCAAAAGACTGACCAGAAATAGGCTTTCTTACTTAGAAAACTCCTCCTCGCCCTTCACACAAGGTTCAAGCATGCCCTCGGTACGAGACCTTATGGGCTCACAAACCGCCACCAAAGCCCGTGCCACTTGTCACCCCTCAGGGGCTCAGAACTCATCCTCCTCTGGCATGGATGGCTTTCTCTCAGCCTTCCTGGCAGAGAGGT